CCCTGCACCTGATTCAATGTCTCGTTCTATCCTTACAAGTTTAAGCTGTTTCATCTTTAAAGTTTCATTAAAATCTGCCCATTGGTTCATAAAGTACTGTAACACAAATGCACGTGCAAAAATCATTGCAAAGGCAAAAGATGTTCCCGATAAAGTCTTTGCCATGTTTGGTAAAATAGTGAGGTTTCATGGAGAATGAAAGGAGAGAGAACAGAGGGTTGCAGTGCAGAGAGGTCAGCTGTGGGACATAAGACATTCCAAACAGTCGATTTACAGTTAGTGAAAATCTACATAACTTCAGTGAAGGTCAATACGCACGTCTGCTCAGCAGGGAGGGGACGTAACAGATGCTTCTCAGAGTAATAGGCACTCACTGGGGATGTGGGGTGTACCACTGACGAGAGCAACGCATGCAAAGAAGGGAAGTCTTTGAATAACTGATGAAGCAGAATGGAAGGATGGAAATGAAGAGTGCCCCGGGCGAGGATGTGTGGTCACTGAGGGTCTGCAAAGTTAATATTACTGTAATAGCTGCCTCAAATCACAGGGGCATCATGGTGATAATACATTATCAAATAACAAATCAGGCATTCTGTAACCCATCTGAAAAACACTGAACATTTCTGTTGCTGAAGATTATCAAAACATTAGGGTCAAGTCAAAAACCTCAAGTGAGCATAAAAGGTTAGTTTTCAAAGGGCCAATATTATGTGTTTCTCAGGCATATATTTAAATACTATACCATAGTAAAGTATCTATGTCACCTTTTAGTTGCTATTAAAATGCTGTTTTTATGTTTAAATAGAAAATAAACTTATGTTGTCATCACTTCCTCTTCTAAATGCCTTGAAATTGGCCTCTGTCTCTTTAAGAACCACCTTCTGCTTGGGGAGGGGGTGCGATCTGCCATGAGGAAGTTCAGCTTAAAGACACGTCCCAGGGGCGTTTCTGGTCCCCACCTGTCGTTTTGCTCCTCAGCATGGCTTCCTAAAAACACTGCAGGATTTCTCAAACATGCACGAATGAGTCAAAGCAAGGCTTTGGGCATGTTTTTTATGAGAATATAACATTATAACATGATATAAAACTCAAAAAAGTTGATTTTACATTATATTGCCCCTTTAAAGCATAAATGTTTTTATCATTTAACTCTAAAATACTAGAAAGACGAGTAGAAGAGAAGCTCTAATGCGGTTTAATGTTATTTCTGTAAATAGCAAATTCAATCAAACTCAGACTCATTTAGTAAAAACCAAAATGAGTCCAAACCTTTGCAAATCTTCAATGAGGACAGGACCAGTTGAATCTCTCTTTCCTCCAGTTTTGGAGTTTTGTCTTTGTTTTGGAGCTTTCTGCACATGCATACGTTCCAGAACCAGCTGCGAGGTGACGTCAGGACGTCCCACGTAGTTTCAAAATGGAGTCTAACAGCCATTGGATTGGCTTTTTTTTTTTTAATTATCATTAAAAATTGATTTGGGGACATTTTAAATTGATTCTGAATCTTTGTAAATGAGAATCACGATTCTGATGTGAATCGATTTTCTTCACACATGCAATCGAACTGCTCCAGAGTTCACTTCAACCAAACCGAGACCTTGGTTTGGAGGCGGACCAGAGTTTGCTTTTTAGGTCCGATTACGTGTTCACACCTCCCCAAACAAACTAGACTATCTGGGCAAACAAACTAGAGTTCAGTTAAAGTGGACAAAACAGGGCTGGTGTGAGAACAGCCCAATGATGACCTTTAATATAATGTTAATACTGTGACCCGGGGCACCTGTTCTCCTATGTTTGTTATGTTCTGTCTTCTTCTGAATGGGTTCTGAACTGTAATTTCATTGTGCTCTGTACAATGACAATAAAAGGTCTAATCTACTAAATGTGTGACAATATCCTTGGAATGCAGTGTACCTTTCTTGTTCTTTTATGTGAAATTTAAATATTCCTCCATGTGACTGAATGAACCATGTGTTCAGTTGAACTGAACGGATGAAGCAAATGAAACTAATGAAGTCACTGAGTGTTGACTTTAAAACAAGCTGCTATGCAGGGAAGTGATCGGCCCAAGATTTTGTTCTCACAAGTCTGTTTCAGGAACAAACTCTCAGGTAAAAGTCAAGATCAGTGTAAAGTGCACTAGTTTCTGTTTGTGGTTGTCTTTTCCTTTAAAACATTTAGCTGTTACTGTAAAAGGGAAGTATGGATCCTCAAACTGTCAGCTGCTTCCACAAACCACCTAAAGACTTGCATTTTTGAACATACAGCTTGCATTTCAAATGTAACAGTTATATAGTCTTGTTTTTATTACTGTTTTTGCTTCTGTACGAAACATTGATGTTATTTTATCTTTACTTATATTTGCATTGTTGTCATTTTTCTTCCGCAGCACCTGCTTCTCTCCTCTGGGGATGAATAAAACTTGTGTCTTCGCCACAAATGTTTCTTTGACGTCACCAGTACTTGTAAGGAAGAATATATAGAACTGCATCGAAAAGTGCACAGACCATCACAATTCTGGTTATAAAATGATAATTCTTAAAAATGACGAGTTGAGAAGGTAAAGGTCTCAGCTGGACAAGTAAGACCTTCTTTAATGTGTTTAGGAGTATTACTAACAAAAAGAGATTGCTAATAAAAAAATGAAGTAAATCCAGTTTTTGTCAGACTTGTGGAACAATAGCATCAGGTCTAAGTCAGAAAAAAAACTTTACGTATTGTATTTTAACTATAACTGATTCATGCATTTATCACATCTAGCTGGACTACTGCAATTCTTTATTATCTGGGCATCCAAAAAACTCTTTACGAAGTCTTCGTGTGATCCAAAACTCTGCTGCCGTTCTAATGAGATATTTCTCCAGTTTTAGATAGACTCCCTGTCAAATTCTTCTAACATACAAAGATCTGAACAACCAAGCTCCATCATATATTAAACATCTTATTGTTCCAGACTTTCCTAACAGAGCACTTCACTCTCAGACTGCAGGTTTACTTGTGGTTCCTGGAGTTTCTAAAAGTAGAATGGGAGGCAGAGCTTTCAGTTATCAAGCTCCTCTCTTGTGGAARRAYKTRCCAGTTTCTGTCCGTGAMGCTGACACTCTGTCTACTTTTAAGATTAGACTGAAGACTTTCCTTTTTCATAAATCCTACAGTCAGACTTGGGTTTCCAGAGTTATCCCTTGGTTCTGCTGCTGTGTCTCTTTCCTGTCCCGCTAAACCAAGGCTATCAACTGGTGGCCCATGGGCCACATCTGGCCCGCGAGTGACCAAAGTTCGGTCCACCAATTGGTTCATTCATCTCTTAAATCCAAACCCACAGTTTTCTACTTGAATTACTCTAAGTTCTTTTAGATAAACATGGACATGTTGGGTATCTACAGAAACATCAGAATCTTGGCTACAAGCTGGTAAAAACTATTTCAATGAACACCCAAGACAGTTAAACTACAAACAGTTGAAGATAAAACTATGAAAATTAAATTAAAATGGTTTTAAAAATTTGGCAAGTCAGAGATGTTAAAATATTATTTGTGGTAAATAAGAGGAGTAATGTGTTATTTTTGTTTTTGTTATTATTATCATTAGGGCTGCCATGATTAGTCAACTAGTCGACGACTAATCGACTATTAAAATAGTCAACGACTAATTTAATAGTCAATTAGTACTTTTTTAAACTTTGTTTTTCTCTCCAAACTGCTTTGACAGCTTCCACTGCCACATCTGCCTTTCTGTCCTTGACACACATGCACAGTAGTGGTAACTGGGGTAGGCCGTGGACGTCACAAGACATTATACAGACAGGCTCTGGTATCATGGCTACCTGACAACAGAGCTCAAAGTGTGGGATCATTTTAAGAAAATGYAAGAGAAACCTGTGTAATATCTGCAGAGCAGAACTTACCTTCCACAGCTATTATTTTTAGTTAGCATATAGCTAAAATCTAATGATGGTTATATAACAGCAGCTGTATTCTGGTGCGATAAGCTGTTTGTTTTATTCAATTAATGTATGATCTGATTAGTCGACTAATCAAAAAAAAATCGGTGATTAGTCGACTATAAAAATAATCATTTGTGGCAACCCTAATAATCACTACTGTTATTACATAGGGTTCTGGTATGATGTATTCATGATTAAATGCAGCAAAATAAACTATTTCAAAAGTAACAGATCTTTGTAATACTTGGTTTATTTACATAATGATTTTAATTGCTGGATGTTCGGCCCCTCAGCTGTTGGCCTGCAGTAACTGTGGCCCCCGGAGCAGTTTAGTTGGGTAACGCTTTCTTTTATAGTAACCTTATTACTATGTAATTACAAGGTAATAAAAATGTAATTAATGTTATTACTACCTACTCAGGATGGGATGCTGTAATGAAGGGATTCAACACAATCTGCTGGCTCCTTTAGGTTTATTTTTTGTCTACAGTTCCCTGATACAATGRTTGTGACATGGCCCTATATAAACAAACTTACTGAATTGAATTTTTGTTTGTATTTATTTTGACAATGCCTCAGTTGTGGCTGCTTTAGAAAACAGCCTCATTATATAGTTTTCCACTAACTTTGAAAAGACTATTTTATTATATTTTCAGTCAGCCCTCCTCACTTGGCCCTCTTAACTGTCTACAGTGAAATTGAATGTTATGAATTGAGCTCCATAGTGGTTTGCTATTCTTTAATCTTCCCCTCTACTGGTGTGGGACCTAGTGTGACCACTAGAATTTAATTTGGTTTATCCCCTCGTGAAGCGGCTCTGGGTACGATCTGCAGCGCTGTGGGTGRGAACGTGACAGTGAAAGGCAGGCCGACTGTAGCCGCCTCCGTTTGTCCAAAGCTGCAGAGCATCYGGTGTGATGGGAGCCGTCCCCCGTCAACCATCAGCCCCAAACACCAGCCAGTACAAACACARGCACACCTAATGAACTGAGACCTATTAAAAATCAATTTTATAGCCGTTTTCTCTGCTCTCTTTATGTTCCACTCTAACGGGGAAAAAAAGCACTGCTGTGACCGCCTGAAGCAAGAAGAGAGAGCGAGAGAAAAGAGGGGGCTTRGAATGACAGGCTGATCCTTCATTTACAGGTCAGGTGTAGCGTGCACATCGTGTGTGTGTGCACGTGTGTTAGATTTATACAGCTTCATATAGAATTTTAATGACACTCAGAAAGGCGGTGAGAGATGCGCACTTCTTGCAGGAATGGAAAGAATTCCCTGAATTGCACATAAAGACCGGCTTACGAGACAGCTGATCAGAATCTGCTATCAAGAGTATGATGGAGTGGTGCACCCCAAACGCAGACAAGATGAGAATCTTAATAAAAGTTTTAATAACTAAGAAAATCACAGTTAAATAATTAGCCATGGTGAAAATGAGCAGAGGATGTAACAATCAGGGGTGGAGCCAGAGGGATGGCTGGGGTGGCCAGTGCAACCTCTGGCCCCTGATTGGCCACCCCCAAATAACTGAGAAGTGGGCAGGGATCTTGGATTTTGTATTTGCATTTAGATTTTATTAAAAAATATTCTCTGATACTACTGTACCACATAAAATTTTATTTGTGCATGTTTGATAATGGCTGAATTTTTGCCGTTTGTAAAATTAGCATTAACATCACTGGTTAGCTTAATTTGGGATTAGCATTGACAATCGACAGGTGATCATTCTTAGATACTCTACCATTAATTCCATTCCAATAAGTCTTAAAATGGTTGAATTATAGACTTTTAAAATTGTGGTGGCCATCTTGAGTTTTGGATTAGTATTTAGAATTTGGCAAAGAGTGTTTTCGGCTACTTCTGCAKTAAACTTTAGCTTCGTATGTCTAAAATTGGCTAAATAATAAGTTGTTCTCATTCACACAAAATTTCATCTCTCCATCTTGAATTTTCAGTTCCAGAGTTCTTTTCTTTATTTGTATTTATGCCACCCTACCAAAAAAAAAACAAACAAAACGTGGCCACCCTTGTGCCACCCTTTCGAAAGAAGTGTATCTCCACCTCTGCTAATAATGTGGTCAAGAAAGTAAAGGAAAAATGAACTTTTTACAGATGAGAGATGAGAATTTCTGGTTTAATTCTGATGTTTCTTTGTTTCTTATCTTGACACAATGAGCTAAGTGACCCACCTCCCATAAATTGATTGTAGATGAGGTCTTAGTTCTCGGCTTATTATTAGCCCGAGGAGGAGAACCGAATAGGAGCTCAGCTTCCTCCAGCTGCTTTATTCATAGCAGGATCATTACCACCACCACTGACCCCCTTCCTGCTCATCTGTTTGACTGACAGGAGATGGAAAGAACACGGTTTGTGTGTCCTTGATGGGACCTTTTGAAATACTGGACTTTGGGCAGAAGGATAATTTCTTCTTCTTCTTTTAAATGAACACATTTTGACCACTCCATCATAGAAATGTTTTTTTTTTTGTTGTTGTTTTTGGGAACTGAAATTCCAACAACTCTTACAGAAATCAGTCAAATTAGCACATTTTGGAGATAATTATCAGGTTACAGACACTGAAAATAGGAAGTTAGTCTGTATTTATGTTGCAAGTTTGTCTCAAACACACACACACACACACACACACACACACACACACACACACACACACACACACACACACACCTGTGTCTCATCTGTAATCAGTCCATATACTGTATGTCTCAATTCATGGGTTGCAGCCGACGTGGGCCACATTTGTCGGCTGCTTCCTGCCCCGCACCGTAGGCTGTCCCAATTCGTAGATGCCTACTCATGTGGCCCACAGAACCCCAAAAGCTTCGGCTGCATCTGAGTGTCCCACACATCTGATGGTATCCCAGAATTCATTGCGCCGTCAGCAAARAAAAACACAAAGATGGTGTAGAGATTTTATTTTTATTTTTTCGGCAGAGTTTGGAAATTGTTTATCAACATCGCTGAAGAAAGTTTGGTGGCAATGAGATGTTCAATAAAATGCAGTTACAATACCGATACTGGAGCATAATTCAAATTGTGAATGATTTTTAATTATTTATTTGTACTGTTCTATTGAAACTTAATTTTGTGAAGTTATACCTTGAAAAGGCAACTGAAGCGATATAAAACATAACCATGGTAGCGAGGCAGAGCGTGGTCATGCAAACATACGTCTTCTGCAGACTAGACTCTCATTTCACAGCCAGTTTTTAGCAGACATGAGCGGCCAACAGCCCACGTTGACTGTGGTCTACTTCGGCCGCAACCCATGAATTGAGGCACTGCCTTTGTCTCACACACACACACACACACACACACACACACACACACACACACACCTACTAGGGGTGCAACGATACAGAAAATTCACGATACGGCTCGGTTCAATATTTTAGTCTCATGGTTCGATATCTTTTCGATACAAAAGAAGAGAAATTCCCATGCCGTTTTTAACTTGTAATTCATTTAAATTAATTATGAACGTTTGTTTAACCTCAAAATGCAGTTTTTAATTTAAATCTTGTTGAAACAGCAAGTTTCTCATTGGATCTGCGCTCGACAATGCAGCCTAGGTGGAGTAGTTGAACACAGATCCACTGATCCTTCAACACAGAGCATCTTCAGGAGACAAGTTGATAAAGTAAATTTTAAAAGTCTGTATTGTTCGATACAAGTGTGCATTGAACCTAAAGCACTGTTCGATATGGTTCGATATGGGTACATGTTGCACCCCTACTACCTACTATGTCTCTCTATCCTTGTGGGGACTTTCATTTGACTTCCTTTTTTTTTTTAGTTTTATATCCTAACCCTTTATCCATTTATCCTAAAACTTACCTAAACTCAATTCACACCTTGGTCCTAAACACCCCACCCCACACCCAAAGTCAGCCCCTGAAGTCATGGGGACCAGGCTTTGGTCCCCACGAGGAGCATCCGGTCCCCACGAGGCTGCATTTTCCTTTAAAAATTGTCCCAACCAAGTAGCAAAAACAAGGGCACACACACACAGAGAGACACATTTGTTCTTGAATCTCATGGGGACCTTCCATTGACTTCCATTCATTTTGTTTTAGACTTTATATCCTAACCCTGACCGTTTACCCTCACAAGTCCTTACCAACCCTAAAACTAAGCTAAAACTTGGTCCTAAACCTAACTCCACACCTGTAATTTGCGTTTGGACCTGTGGGGACCTGGCATAGGTCCCCACGATTCACTTCGGTCCCCACAAGGCTGCTATTTTTGGGGGGAAATTGTCCCCATGTTGTAGGAAAAATCCGTCCACAAACACACACACATCCTTGTATTTGCATCAAACTAAGGACATTGTTTTGACTTCCATTCATTTTTTAATTGTATTTATGCCTAACACAGACATTTTCACTAAAATTAACCCTTACTGGTCTATAGTTAACACTAACCTGAACCAGAACTTAACTCACACCAGACCTCTCTAAACCTAACTAGTTGCAGCAGAGCTGCAAACAAAGTGAGGACATTGATGTAAAGTGAGGACCTCTTCAAAGGCCTCATTTTAATAGTAACTGTGGTGCAAATGGTCCTCACTCTGTAGTAAAAACAAGTACACACACACTCTCACACCTGTGTCTCATCTGTAATCAGTACATATATTCTCTATAAGCTTTAGTCCAATCCTCCAACTTTCATTGCTTCTCGTCTTTCTTTTTTCAGGATTGTTTTGGATTTATAATTTAAACTTTTTATAGTGTCTAATTGAAAACATGCAGGGAACATGGAGGTTACTAAAGCACATTTCTCTGTGCATGCAGTGCTGCAGGTAAAAGCTCTTTATGGGATGCTTAATATTTCTGTAAACATATGTTTTCCACAGCGATRGTCTAACTTTCTTCTTGTTTCTCACAAACACAAAAACTCGAACATCCTGACGATATAGACGCATCCTTCCCCTCCCCGGTGCCACGAGCCGGGGTCTCTCTGCATCGCGTGCTTCTTTTATATTCTGAGACATGACTTTCCCTCCATGAAGCTCTGTTCTCTCTGTCCTCTTCTATTGGATCTCAGCTCCTTCTGTTCCATATCCAATACTCTGCCGGGGGCAGGAGGTGACAAATAATACATCAACTGTTTCCCATCTTGGGATTTTTCAGCAAGTTTCTCTCAATAGAATTGTCTGAGAAACATCTGAAGACTGTTGTATTTCTGCTTTGATCTGGTTGTATTTTAGATTATTCTGTTGCTTTTATTTTATCTTGATTTATGTGGTTTTGATTTGAAGCACCTTGTGTATTTTTTGTGATAAAATGCACAATTTAAATACAATTTTACTGCTTTTAGGCTGCATTAGCAGGAGGGTGTGGAGTGCATCCCACGAGTCTGTCTCTGTAACACCATCCTCCCCTCCTGCTCACATCTCACAGTCTTTGTTTACTCAGATCTGCATCTTCCTTCCCCCTGCAGCTCCCTGCCCTGCAGCTCCACACTTCCTTTTTCAGCAGAGAAGCTTCAGCTGCAAATAAGCAAGAAGTTGCCTCAAAAGGACAAGCAGAACTTGACAGAGTCTGTTACCATATAAGCACATTGTCTTCATTCATATTTCTTTTTTTTTTTCTATTTGCTCGAAGAGATGAAAGAATTCTTTTATTAGGGATGATTTTCACTTCCATCTGTGCCGCTTCCCTCTGCCCACACATCCTCGGCTCCAAAGCTCAGCATCCAGCAGCTTCCTGCCTCGGGGCTCAGCGTGACGCTGGAGAGCAGTAGTAGTGATCCAGTAGTAGTGATCAGTATTAGTGATACGTTATATCAGCTGCTCCTTATAGGAGGGAAAACAGCTCAGAGGAGAGTGGCCCTGATTTACCACATTAAAATATGTAAATAATGCCTGTATATTTAATCAGTAGTTTGAACATTTTTATTAAAGCAGAGCTCTCTGATTTGAGGTATTGTTGCTTTGAGATCTTTTAGTGTTAAAAAAAGAACAGGTCAGAGTGACCTCGTCTGCTGAACTTTTCTTGCTGCATTTATTTATTTCTTTTCTAACCTTTAAAAAGATGTCAGATTGAGAATTGTGTTCAGCTACAAGCCCAAAATGTTACACGTCTGTTTGCACTTACAGACATGTTCGCTCACGGGAGTGTTTCCATTCTTGACATTCGAATGTTGGAGGTAATACAGCTTTTTGACTGGAAACTTTAACATAACTGTGTGAATTTAAAGGGGCAACATCATGTAAAATCAACTTTTTTGAGTTTTATATCATCTTATAATGTTATACTCTCATAAAAAACATGCCCAAAGCCTTGRTCTGACTCATTCATGCGGGTTTGAGAAATCCTGCAGCATTTTTAGGAAGCCATGCTGAGGAGCAAAACGACAGGTGGGGACCAGAAACACCCCTGGGACGTGTTTGTTTTTTTTTTCTTTGCCACTTCAGTAGAAAGCAGTACTGAATATCTGAATATTAGTATCTTAGCTTCATCATCATTAGTGGCTTTTTATTTTTTTATAGATAGACAAGAAAGAAGAAGAAGAAAGAAAGGGAAAAAGAAGGAAAGGAAAGAAAAGGTTACAATGTAATGGAAAAAAGTGAAAGTAAGAATTGATGATATGTGAGATATACGTCAAGAAAACAATACAATACATCCAACTTCTGTCTGCACACCTGCAAAGAATTAAGGTAACAAAACTTAGAAAAAGCGTACATATAAACATTTAGACAGATAAACAAACACACCTGGTGATCATTCAGAACCCCTCGGATCTGAACACCTGTCTGCGTGCGGTTGTGAGCAAGCATAAATATCCATATAATCATATATGTACATGTACATATAACCATATGTATGTACATGTACATATAACCATATGTATGTACATGTACATATAACCATATGTATGTACATGTACATATNGTACATGTACATATAACCATATGTATGTACATGTACATATAACCATATGTACGTACATGTACATGTACATATACACAGCTTGATGATGAAAGACACATTTTACTATTCAAAACATACTTTGAAAGACCTTAAAAGTTAATCAGTTGTAGATGTACATTTATTACTTTCTGAGAGTTTTATTATCACACTCCTCTGATTCATTAAATGATTTAGTAAAACTGAACACATAGACATGCACAAAAACATTACACTCATAGGCAGCAATAAAAGGTGTATTTATGAGGTCAAAACAGTTATGAATGTATTTAAAAAGAGCTGAGTATCGGTTTTCATTCAAAGCGTCCTGGAAGGAAGAAGGAAGGTGGTTTTGGTTACTGTTTGCCAGGCACTGCTGTTCGTTTGTCACCTGCTTATGTCATGAATCTGATTACACAGTGGAAGGAAAAACAAGGAAGCCTGGTTTGTTTTGTTTCCACCGTTTATCCCCGAACACCCCCAAGGTGCTCTTCCTGATAGTGTGAGATTATGTAAAAAACACACGCTAACGTGCATCCAACATGCACGCAACTGCATGTGAGCGTTCATGATGAACAAGAGGAGGCGTTTACACACACACACACACACACACACACACACACACACACACACACACACTCACACAGAGGGAAGCCTCCTTTTCTTACTGAGGCAACAAGTTCAACAGAGTTCAGGCTGGCCTCCTGCTCCCCGGTCAGGATGTGACAGCGACGGACCGTTTTCCTGTGGACACACAAAGACAATGTCAGCATGAGTAGCTGTTAACCTCTGGGCCCCATTCATAAAAAAAAAGGGGGGGGGGGGTGCAGCTCTATTTCCACAGAATGTTTATCTAACATGAGTAACAGGATGGATTTCACAGCAAACACCAACTGCGTTTTTTTCAACACTTCCTCTCTGCAAGTTTAACAAACAAACTGACGCAGAGTTCAGCTGGGTCCAACTCACAACAACGTAAATAAAAAAAATCAGCTCAAGTCTTGTCTTTAAATAAACGACTTCATGGAGTTGAGGCAGTAGAAGCTCGCAGAAGAAAAGCAGGGCTGTATAAAGTACTTGAAAAGAATAACTAATTAAAAAATATATAAACAGAAAATTGATTTGGTAAAACTTTATTTCACTGATAAGAAAAGTTTGCAAGTAAGTCATAAAACTGCTCACGATAATCATGAAAGTAAAAGTTAAACTACTTGTACACACACTAAGAAATTGTAACACTTTCTTTTGCGGTACCCTTATTGCCATGTAATTACAAAATAATAAAAATGTAATTAAATGTAATTACTACCTTATTACCATGTATTTACGTGGTAATTAGGGTACAATTTTACTATGTAATTGTCTGCAGTAATGTAGCACTTACCTGGTAATGTATTACAATTCACTATGTAACACCTAAATAAGTAGTAGGTAATTTGGACAGTTTTAAAGTTACATTTTATTGCACTTAACCACTAACCCCAAAGTTTAGTTGCCTTATTTTGGTTATAAATATAGTTTTGAGTTACTATTGAATAGTAATTTGATTGTAGTTACCAAATAAAGGTAGTTGTACTAATAGTAGTTTTTGTTTTGTACCATAACTACCACATAATTACATGGTAATAAGGTAGTAATTAACATTTACATACATTTTTATTACCTTGTAATTACATGGTAATTAGGGTACCGTAAAAGAAAGCGTTACCTAAGATTAGGTGAATTTATTTAAAGGGAGTATTATGCAAAATTAACTAAGTTATGTCATTCTCTCACCAAAACATCCCCAGAGCGTTGCTTTGACTCATTCATGTACGTTTGAAGAATCCTTGAATCTCCTGTGGTAGACATTTGCCTGAATACTTGCTGGTACAAAGTTCCGCCCATTATTACACAGCTCCTCCCTGGAGCTCAGTCTGCAGCCAAGCACCTGCCCCACAGAGCACCCCCCCTTCTAAAGCGTTGTTTGAAAACATGCTGAAGTGGGCGTGTCTGAAACGGTAGGAGGTTCTTAAAGAGACAGAGGCCAATTTCAAGGCGTTTAGATCAGCTATGATGTAAAATCTAATTTATTTTTAATACGTATACAGCTTTTTCATAACAACTGAAGGTAACAGTTACTTGATTGTGGTATAGAATTGAACTATGTGCCTGAAAAATCCATAACACCCCCACTTTAAGCAGGTTATGGCAACTAGTTCCACTAAACCAGTTCAGTGGAACCAGTTGACATGAATAAAATTATTATTATTGAGTTTCAGTCAAATTTAAATTTGTAGCATATAACAAAGCATTCAGTTTAAAAGTAAAGAATTCAAAGTATGTTTTGCTTTGTAACAAAATTAAGTAAAAGTTATGATTTTAAAAAATACTTGGTATAGTTATACATCCTCAGACAAATTACTTATTAAGTACTGTGACAAGGTAAATGTACTTTAAATACTATACAGCTCTGCAGAAAGGCCCAAACTGGGAGTCAAACCCAAGAACCAGGATCTTCTTCCTGCCAAGCAACAGTGTARCACTGTACTATGAATCATGCTAAAAAAGTATGCAACAGCATGTGACTCATATCCTGAGTGACCTTACCTTTCCTGCAAAAGTTATATAAAGGCCAACTACTGGTTGTCTCAGCAAAAAAAAGACCCAGTTTTAACAGTTACACAAAGAAAAGACACAAAGTTCGTGTCAAAGTCTGAAATACAGCAATAGTTACAGTCATTTACACACGGTTCTCCTCGTTCAGTGATTATTAATTAAACATGTGCTCACTAAATGCTCAGAACATGAGGCTGGTTTTTAGATTTCTTGAACAAGATTTATGCGAGAATTCAAGCTGTAAAACACCGACAGCAGCAGGAAGTGAACTGTGATGAGCTGCTTAGGATTGTAAATCTTTATGGATATTTTCCAACAAACTGCGCTCACATCTTTGTTTGCAGTCCTCTTTTACAAAATGAGTATTTCTTACAGCAGAATGTTGTGAAAGATGCACGACGTTGCAGCACATCTTCATGATAAGGCATGATAAGGTTGAAATGCAAATGATGCGAGCTAAACACAAAAACAATGTCACAATGATTTTCTTGACCGTTTCATCAGTCTGAGAAAACGACAGGAAACACTGTATGAATGTGATATAAAGAAAACCAAAAAGTCATCTTACATTGGAACTAAAACTGTTGCTACAGTCTTCAGCGGTTGTCCAGTCCTCGAGGGCCACTGTCCTGCATGGTTTAGAGGTTTTTATGCTCCAACGCACCTGATTTGAAAAAATGGGTGATGAATAGGCTTCTGCAGAGTTTGGAGAGGTAAATCAGGTGCAGGAAACCAGTAAAACATGCAGGATAATGGCCCTGAGCTAAATGTTTGTTTGTCTCTCATGATGTCCACATTGTTGTGTACGCTGTCTACCGTGTGTCAGACACAAAACACTAAGAATGTTGGACACATTTTAAAGAATATTTGTCTCATTGTGTGGAAAATACCAAAGCATACAACAACGAAAGTAGCATTTCTTAAAGGAATGCGTGTTGCCTGAAACCTTGCGTGCCAAAGTTTCAAACAATGATGTTACACAATCTGTTAGTGTTCCGAGTGAGAGGCTGTTAGAGTTAGTTTCAGGTGATCTGACCCCAGGTGACACACCCAGGTCCTGCGGAGGGCTGTCAGCTTCACTGGGATTTAAAGATCAGTTCAGTGTTTCATTAGGTGACAAGAACGTAACACTTCAGACCACCTCCAATGATGGTTGAGTGAGAGTTCATTCAGGCCATTTTGTGTTGATTATTCCTTAATCAGCTTAATCAGCTGTAGAGATACATCCAATGATGACTGGATGTTCTAAATGTTGGATGTGTTGGACACATTTGACATGTTTGATTCATTTCACATGTTGGGCATGTTACGATATGTTGGACATGTTGAACATGTTGGATGTGTTGGACACATTTCACATGTTGGATGTGTTGGATGTGTTGGACATGTTTCATAAGTTGGACATGTTTGATGTATTGGACACGTTTCATATGTTTGACATGTTTCACATGTTGGATGTGTTGGACACGTTTCATATGTTTGACATGTTTCACATGTTGGATGTGTTGGACACGTTTCACATGTTGGACATGTTTCACATTTTGGATGTGTTGGACATAGGGGTGGGCGA